AATTGCTTTGAAATTATCTTCAAAATTCGTTGAAGTTAGTTTTCAGGATTCCTTTGCAATTCTCCTATAAAATCCATTGAAATGCTCTAATAAATTTAACGAAATTCTTCTCAAAACTCTAATGTCATCTTCTTGGAGATCTTTTGCAATGCTGCTAAAAATTCATTTGAAATCATCCTCTGTATAGAGTTCTCGAATACTTCCTGTCGTCCTGTTGAGGCCATCAGGCCATTTCTCAGGTTTTCGGAAATCTGGATCCGGAAACAACTTCCCGGATCTTTGTAAAGGGCACTTCCTACTTACCGCTCTCATCATTTTTGCCTCTCCTACTGTTATATCATATCAAAGTATTTTACCTCCTCAGGTATGCGTCCGTTCAAGTTATTCGTGTATATGATTGTAAAGAGTGTGACGTACGACCCTGCACTTAAGATTCTCTTTGTATTCTCTTAAGAAGTCTATTTAAATTATACCAGAATTCCATCGAAGGTCTTGTCCTAATTTCTTTGAAATTGTCCTTGGAATCCTTTTGAGAATTCATTCGGAAAATTGCTCTTGGGATTTTTCGCGATACAATCACTTTTGACTTCCATTGTCGAACCCTCGTAAATAACAATTCAATTATACAAATCAACAATACCAATTGCTGGGGGGTTGCCTCATCTGTCGGACGGTTCTATCATGTACTTAGCTTGATGGAGTGATCGTTTGCAAGAATTCGGTGATGGATGTAAAACGTGACATTTACGTTATATCGTGGCAAACCAGTACCATATTCCGAATTTATGTGAAGTAATCCCAGAATCGGATACCCTTGAATTTAAAATCGTAATTCCCTTGGGCCACTTCTTAAAATTATCATTCAAGTTCCATTGGCATCACCGTCAACATTCTTCATGAATTGTTTCCAGAATTCTCCTGAGAATCCCCAGTGGCTCTTATAAGTATTCCATGAAATTCTTTTCGCAACAATCCCAATTATCATCAGAATTACCTAGGAATGCTCTCAGAAATTCTATATAATTCTCTTCAGAATTCGATTCCCTTGGTATTATTGTGGAAAAAAAGCTTGCTGAAACTCCTCAAACTCACTGGAGGTTTTAAAACACTCACTGTTTTGCGAGTTTAGCTAGCCCTCACCTCGAGTGAGTGGCGACAGGAATATGGAAGAAGTAAACAAAAACTCCTCGAGAGAGAGGGAGAGTGCTATTCAGCTAGAGGATGATTTGACGTGAGGTGCGCTTTTCAGGTCCGGATAACTTTTTTGTTCGACGCAAGAAGCTCAGAGTTCACCCAGAGTGAGAGTAAGAGCGTGTTATAGAAAACATGAACATGAATGGCTGCAAACCTAACTCTCAGTTTATCCCCTTCGCTCACAAGCTCTGAAGCTTAGTGGAATGATTTTGGCAGTAGACATTCTACTCCTCAGAAAAATGCTACGCTCGACTCATTTCAAACTCGCGAGTGCGGCTCCATCAAGCCTGGTCGAAAATCTCCTACTCAGCCTTTGGAATTAATCTCAGATTTTTCTTTTGTTCTCTTCAGAAAACACTTTGAATTCTCCTTATTCACAAAAAAACGTCAAAGTTCCTCATACTTCTCTAGAAGTTATTCTTCGAGTTCTATTGGAATTCTCTGAAGAATTCTCGTGGAATTCTGTTCAGAGTTCTTTTTGAGTTATTTCCGGACATTTGTTGAAATTCCCTTGAAAGTGTCGTCAGTCCTTAGGAACTACTCTGATAACACAATTCACTTGATATTCTTCTCGTTGTTCTCTTGAAGGTTTCCTTAGATTTTTTTTTTTCAAACTAATATTTTAATTATTTTTAAAATTCCCTTTGAATGCTTTAAGAATTCCATTGGAATGTTCTCAGAAGTTGTTTGGAATTAGCCTTAGAACTCAAATCACTAGTGTCGGACCCAACTAACAATTAATCATTTTGGCAAGCTTCTGCATTCATGTTCCATCAGATGTCACTGCTGTTGTTTGCGGTGACATCTATCGAAAACTACGCACAATATGTTTTCTGTTAATTGTTCACAGAGGACACTGCAGTGCAAAACATGTCTGGTACCTCTATATATGCATTTCGATTAACATTCGAAGTCCCTCCTTTTTCACACATTCTGCACACAAAATAGCTCACCCCTCACAGAATTTCCCGCCAATTTTAATGACTGGGCGGGACATAAAGTATCTTTTGCGTAGAATATGTAAAAGAGGAGGGACTTCAAATGAAAAAGTTAATGCATATATAGAGGTACCAGACATGTTTTGTAGTGTCAGATACTCTATTTTGTCATCTGTGAAAGGGAAATCACAAATCGAGTGTCATCAAAATACATGGCATGTGAGAGATTGAGGTCGTGAGAGCAAATTTTCTTTCTCAAATTGTAATTTTTTGGCTCTCTGGGGACTGGTAGTAAAGCAGGTAAAACTGTATGGCGAAAAATCATTTTTTATTTAATTGTAGCTTGTTTAACAATAATTTCCGGGTAAAATGTAAGGACAAAGTTCTTGTCTTGTTTATTTAGGTTGTCGTTCACTTTTTTTTTTACCTGAATATGCACCGAAAGCGAATTATTTCCACTTCTCTCAATCTCTATATGGGGATTTTTATCACTTCCTACCAACGGAACAGCGCCATCTCTGTGGAAAATGGCCGGATGATATGATTAATTTCAGCAGCAGATCAGCTTATACAGCCGAAAATTGGCTTATGCAGCTAATTTTTGTCTGTATAAGCTACTATGCAGCTAAAATTGTTTGTACGGGAGGGCACCCTTCAATGCTGAGCCCCAACATCGGTTTGGAGTTGATGGTTTGTCCACTGAAGGGTATGGAACTTAATTCCAATCAACCGCTGGAGATCCAGTTAAGGCTTCATTTAACTTAACACTGATTAGATAGGGGAAATGGATGTAATGTCGGCCAAAATGCCCCTAATTTGGGCCCATACATAAATTAAGCAATAGAATAAATCAAGACCAACAATTGAAATGGCCTTAACTCCATTTTGTAAACAAACCTTGTAAGGCCATTTTCTCGCGAACCGAAACCTTCATTCGCAAATCTAAACCACAATCGGGTAGAGGAGAATCTCCCCTACCTGTTCATTATGTTGGTTTACCTTTGCGGACTTCGGTTCGCGAGAAAATGGCCTTACAAGGTTTGTTTACAAAATGGAGTTAAGGCTATTTCAATTGTTGGTCTTGAAATTTTCAATAGCTACCAAAAATATCCATTAATACCGTCCCACAGAGCAAGTTCATCTAGATAAAATTGACAAATAGCAGATTTTTAGCGATAGGTCCAATCTTAGATCCATAGGACAACATTAGAGTCATTTCCTCTAATTAGTTTTTTTTTATTAAAGATACCTTAAACACTGATTTACACGAAATACAGAATATAATTTATAACAATATTGCAGCTTACAATTACACAAAGAATTTTAGATGCACGGGTTTTCCTTGACCACATGAGGCGTACTATTTAAGTGTTAAATTATTCCGAAGTGACCCAACGTTGTTAAGAGTCATCATGGGCCTTGATGACGTAGTTTTTGGATCATCTAGCCGGTCGACAGAAATGGTTGTCCTCTCTGCATTGGTGTGAATCGAGAGAGGGTTTGTGACCATCTAGTCTATATCCAGCCCCTGACGTAATAAGGGATGATTTCATCTATTAGTACAAATCATAGGTCAACATTTTTTCGGTTGATTGTAAAGGGAGCATTCCTCGAAATAAACAATGCTGCATTATCCTTTTTGCCATTATCTGTTGTATTTGAGGTAGTTTTGAAAGTTTTTCATTCAAAACTATCCAGTAGAATAATGCCTAACTATAATAAATGAAAAGTCTAGTCTTGGTTGATAAAATCTTCTGTCGAATAACTTCATTTCAGTTGAGACGGCATCCAATTAGCAGACTACCAACTTAAAATCACACCATCTGAAAAACTCGCAACGAGTGAAACATGATTGTGAATTTGGCAATGTAAATCTCATGAAGGAGACCAAGTGTCAACAAAGGTTCAAGACGACGTTTTAGATTGCTTTCTTTGTTGCAAGCGTATAGATATAATTCAGCAGATAAAATATTCAAAGCCTAACAAAGGTGAGAAGAGCTCTGAAGAACCCAGCTATTTGCTGCAGAGAGTATTTACCGTCAAGCTTAACCGTTTTTTCAGCTGCGATCTATCGATTCTGTTTAAAATTCAACCATTTTGGCATGCTCGTAAGCTTTCGCGTAATGATGCCATCAGATTTGGCACCTGCAGCCACATGGCATCCTTTTTCTCTCTGTTTTCCATGGATTATACCAGCAATAAATGCAAATCGAAACACCCTTCCCGCTTTGTTATACTCTGTGCATGAATGTTCCGTCCGCTTTTCAACTCAATGCTTTCATCTATTCACTTTGCCAAAAGTCGGTCACCATCATCCATCACTGTATCTATTTGACTAACAAATATATTGACTATAACCTAACATCAACCAGCAACCGCTCGCTGATTGCCAATTTGGTCAGATTCTATCACTCGCAAAACATATACAAACACACGCATAATCAGGTCGCGAAAATCCCCATCCGAAGCTCCCATCTGCTCGTTAAAAGCTTATCAGAATTTACAATTCCATAGCCGCGACAAAAAAGAACATGAAATCTACATTGCCAATAATCAGCCCTTGCCTTGGATAACAAAAAACGCACACACTAATCTCCTCGCTATCTTCTTGTTCTGATTTCAATACTTCCGTTTCCGTACCCCATCCTGACAGCTTCCTGCCCTTTTTTTTTACTAATAGCCATCTTATCTCTTTTCTTCTACGGTTCTTTTCAAAAACTCTTCTCTCTAACGATCTTTCAAGCTCAAGCTCCTAAATCTGCGTTCCTTTTTCCATCCATTCTCAATCCCAGTTTTGTTTGATTTCTATTTAAGTTGTCGAATTTTGTTTGGTCTGGCCGCCTCTGCATGTAAAAGTCTTCATTTCAGGGACCGCGACAAGACCGGCAAAGCGGCCAACGTCAGAATGCCATCCGCTCCAGCTCACACTGCCGAGGAAGCCCGCCTGTTGGGGTAAGCATGCTACATCACACAAACATAACCTGCCTTTGACTTGATTTTTCCTATATTTTATTCCTTTGTTTGGTTTGAGTTTTACATGAGTTTGAAACCACCCGCCCGCCCGCCCGTTACAAGTGGAATGTAATCTTGACGCTTTATTTACACACTTTAACAAACAAAACACTCATAACAAGTTCAAGATCAAAACACCTGCTCAAACCTGAACCTGTACAGTCCGTTCGAAAACAGCTCTCATTTTCCTTCATCGCACAGTGCTTCTGAACATCTATGGCTGCCCTCTAGGTGGTAGTGGCTGCTTTAGCAGAAAACATGATGACATACAAACACATGCACGCAAATTAGCAATCACCATCGAATATCACATTTTATTTAGTTAGAAAGGATTTATGGTTCCGCCAACTATGGTGGCACTAAAATAGCAAGCCTGTAGCTTGCCGAGGGAAGCGACGCTATCTAAAATCCAGGGGAGATTTTGGTTTCCTGTTGTGAGATGCGCGTGTGATGAGTAGATAGAAAGAAGATTGTAGATTTCCAGCAAAAAAAAATAGCGCGATGCGAGTAGATAGTTTTAGATGCGTAAAATGAAAAAAAAATATTGTAGATAGATTCGATTGCGTAAGATTGTCGAACATCTCAGCATTGAGATTTAAATGTGTCGCCTCTCTTGCAGCTGGGCTCCGTGCGTCTTCATCGTAAGGAGGCAATTTCCGTCGTATGTGTTCCAAACAATGAAAGCAAGTTACTTCAGTCCTATTTTCCCAATATTCTTCTTTGCTTACATGTTAAATTACGGTTCATGTAAATAAATTTGCCCTAGATGAAGCGCCAAAGCGGCGCGAAACCCTGTTTACCAACGAACAAATTCAACACCCCAGCGCGATCAAGTGTTTGTAAATGAAATTGTGTTGTTTGCTGTTTCCCCTGTGTACCGTACAGATTAAAAATGCATTCATTGTGATAGGGACGAGTGCACTTGACAGATTTGATTTCCAGACAATGGATGTAAACTTACAGGTTTATGACAGGCGGTGAATGTTGTGCAATGTACACGGGCAGGCGACAGCAGTGAATTCGATCAACACGTGCAGCCAGTTTCTCATGGTTGGGCGGCTAGCATACTCACTTTGACTTTTGTTGACAATTACTAAATCAATAACGATGGTTTACGAACAGGTGAACAAATACGACACAAAACAATTAACATGCGGAAGATGTGTGAGGCGTAACACGTACGCTGCTTTGTGTCTACGTCGAGTTCGTGAACGGTTATTTAGATCTCGTCGTTTGATTTCACGTTTTCAGCAATGGTGAGAACGTTGCCCTGTCGAACTAAGTTGGACGGCACAACTGTAAGTCGACATTTACGATATTGCTAGTCGATAACTCTAAAGAGGCTGAATTTATAAAGAGACGACATGTCAAAATTGGAACAATCGATTATCTGTCAAAGTCATAGGAAAAAGTTATTCCAATCGAGCAGAAGTTCTGTCAAATGGATAAGATGTCGCCTCTTTACCCAATTATCTTTAGATAACTCCTTCGAAAGGGAAATCACAAATCGAGTGTCATCAAAGTTCATGGCATGTTGAAAGATTGAGCTCGTGGGAGAGCTCAAATTTGAATTTTTTGGACTGGTAGTTCAACAGGTAAAACTGTATGGGGAAAAATCATTTTTATTTAATTGTAGCTTGTTTAACAATGATTTCCGGGAAAAGACTGAATGACAAAGTCCCTGACTAATTTCTTCAGGTTGTCGTTCACTTTTTTGACCTGAATATGCACCGAAAGCGAATTATTCCCACTTCTCTCAAATTCTATATGGGGATTTTTTCACCTCTCACCAGCGGAACAGCGCCATCTTTATGGAAAATGGCCGGACGATATGATTAATTTCTCAGTGTCACGCTTAGATATAATGTGTTTGTTTGTTTACATTTATCTGCTGCTAGCTATTCCATCCATTTCAATCGACAGAATTGTCCAAAACAGTTTGAAAACGTTTTTACAACGCTCCAAACTTCTCAGGTTTGTGTGACTGTTGTCGGAAGCCTCTTTTTCTTCGGCAACCTTTCTATTTGAACTGCGTATTAATAAGGTGTTCCCTTATCGGTATATTTCATTTGAAGCAAAATCTGACATGACAGGATTGCTCAGTCATAAAAATGAAATCAGATTGAAGCTAAAAGACTAAGGAATCGTTTAAATACATCCAGAGAAGTGTTTTTAGTGAGGAAATACAGTGAAATGAACGTGGTTGCCGAAAACAGAGAATGGGTGCCGATGCCATCATTTACCCTTGTTTACATTATTCTCTTATAGAGTAGAGAACTAATAACTCAGCAATATTTCAAATTGATTTTTGTTGTTTCAATTTCAGATGTAAAATGTATGGGCATTGAAAGAAAATATTGAAGATGCTGGACTTTCGAAACAAATATTTGTAAAACCGAAACTATTCTTTTCCGGGGTTTTAATTTTTAGTTCTTCAAAATGCTCATGATATGAATTCCCGAATTAACTTTAAATTCTGCTCTGAATTTTCATGGGATTCTTCTGAAATTAACCAGAAAACACTCCGCATAATAATTACCGTTGAATTCTTTTTAGAACTTCCTTGAAACTCTTTCTAAGAATTTGATTGCAATCCTTCTTAGAATAGATCATTTTGTCAAGCTTCTGCATTCATGTTCCATCAGATGTCACAGCTGTTTTTTTCGGGGACATCTATCGGAAACTAGACACAATCTGTTTTCCTACAATTGTTCACAGAGGACACTGCAGTGCAAAACATGTCTGGTACCTCTGGTATGTTATTCGAAGTCCCTCCTTTTTTACACATTCTGCACACAAAATAGCTCACCACTCACAGAATTTCCCGCCGAATTTTATGTATGGGGCGGGGCATAAAGTATCTTTTGCGCAGAATATGTAAAAAAGGAGGGACTTCAAATGTTAAAGCAAATGCATATATAGATGTACCAGACATGTTTTGTAGTGTCAGGTATTCTATTTTGTAATCTGTGAAAGGGAAATCACAAATCGAGTGTCAACAAAATACATGGCATATTGAAAGATTGAGCTCGTGAGAGAGAATTTCTCTCTCAAATTTGAATTTTTTTGGCTCCCTGGGGACTGGTAGTAGAGCAGGTAAAATTGAATGGAGAACAATCATTTTTATTTAATTGTAGCTTGTTTAACATTAATTTCTGGGAAAAAAAATGAACGAAAAAGCCCCTAACTTATTTCGTTCACTTTTTTTGACCTGAATATGCACCGAAAGCGAATTATTCCCACTTCTCTCAATTTTTAAATGGGGATTTTTATCACTTCCTACCAGCGGAACAGCGCCATCTCTGGGGAAAATGGTCGAACAAAATAATTAATTGCCACCTATTTATTAGGAGACTTTGATTCCTTGAAATTCTTTTCAAAAGTTTTTATTCAAAACAGCAGAAATCTTTTGAAATTTTATTTAGAAACCCCTTGGAGTATTTTGAAGATTTTTTTTCTAATTATCAGCAATTTTTTGGCAATCAATTCTGTTGGAGCTCTGCGATGAATTTTTCGCACTAGGGTTGAAATTATATCCGGAACACTCCTAGAACTCTGTTTCTTGTTGAATTCTCATCATAATTCTCTTGGAAGTCTTCTTAAAAATCATCTATCATTTTTCTCACGATTCCCATTCACACCCCCTCAGAATCACGTAGGAATTTCCCTTAAAGTTTTTTTGTCAAAACTCCTTTTGAAATTTTCTAAAAAGAGTTTAATTTAGAACTTGTATTCTTCTGCACAGAAATCCCTCCAAATTCACCTAACAATTTCTAAGGACTTCATATCATATTAATTCTGGAATTCTGCTCAGAACTCCTCCCTCCTTAATATTTGTTTGAAATCAACACTTTGAATAGTTTTAGTTTTTACTAAAAATTCCAGGGTTTGTCCGCAAGATTATATAGAATGTTCTGTATTTTGTCCAATTTTCCAAGTCTCAGAACCTTGACAATTATAACCCCACGACCCAGAAGTTTATATTTTTTTTTAAATCTGTTATGTTAGATTTTTTTTTACAAAATCTCACATTTGAATTATTGTTTTCTCCAAATCTTGCACCACGAAAATTGTTATTTTTCCCACAAATATCCTCCGAAAATTTATAGAAGTAATGAAGTTGGGTTGTTAGCGGAATGCTTAAATAAAACAGCAAAATAGGTTGTCTTCCATTTAGTTCCACTTAATTAATTTTGATATTCATGACCGATACGTATTTCGACTGCACATTGTAGTCGAAATACGTATCTGTCATGAATACCAAAATTATTTAAGTGGAATTAAATGGAAGATAACCTTTTTGCTGTTTTATCCGAAAATTCACAGTTAGCCGCGTTTTTAAAAATGCGTGCTATTTCATTTTTTGTTGAATATTAACAACCGGGAAATTTTTAAGATTTGAACCGGGAAAACCGGGAAAAAACCCGTGAATTTCAAAATGAAAATTCACTGGCCACCCTGCTTGGCAAAAACCATTTAATGTTTATATAGAAACTACTATGGCAAAAACCAAACTTTTTGTTCATTGTCTTCTAGCCTTTTTCCATATTGTACTGTTAACAAGTTCGATTGCTATTCTTATGGGAATTTTTATCAGCTACAATTTTCAAAAAAATAAATCGTTTTTCAGCCAAACGTCAAATTAAATAGTTATTAATTTCGCCATAAACACCAATGTTGCCTGCTGAAGAGACATCAGTAACTTGAATCATTAATATTTTTGTTACATTTGATCGAAAAGTGGTATTCAACAAAGTTGTAGCTGACAAAATTTTCAACAAGCGCAGCTATCATTTTCTAAAATAGAGTGAACTGATGAATTTTGAGATAGATATGAACCGAAATTATGGTTTCCCCATAGGAATTTCTATGTAAACTTCAAATGGTTTGTACCAAGTCAGGTTCTCAATGAGTTCAAATTTTGGGAGGCATCAATTTTG